TCCATCAAGCAAGTCAAGATGTTTGCACTTCACTCAGGTTTTAAAGTCAAGAAAGGAGTGTGTTGCTGGGACCCAGCCATCTCATCACACACACCTGGGGTACGTTTTCACAGTTGCGTAATATTCTCGTCCACTTGATCTAGTGGCTGAGGAAGCGTCAAGGTTCTATTAAAGTCTTCATGGCCATTGTGTCCCTCGGCCGCCTTAAAGATCATTGGCATTGACACTTTTAAACAACTCACGCTTCAGCTCACCCTTCCTTCCCTAAATCTTGGTGATCGCTGGGAGGGGAGGAAGCCAGGGACAATTGGAGGTCCAGCTGCCACGTTAGGAGCTCTCTCCGTTCTGTCTTGGGGAACCCTGCTTGGCAGTCTTGGCAGCTGCTTATAAACCAGCTATTTATAGCCCCACCCCGCCCCCAGCCCTTGTCACAGCCCCCAGTGATCTCAGTGCTGCTGATGGGGAAGGGGAAGTGGGTTGCTAGGAGCTGGGGTTTGTTTGGGGTTTGGGGGTGTCCCTGCAACTTCCTGAAGACCTTAATTTCCTAGAAGCACAGAGCATTCAGGGGTTTCAGCTCAGCCCCCTTTTCCTACCGCAATAGGCCTTAGGATGAAGGGGGCAAAGGAAGTGGGTGCTGGGACCCCCATCCATAAACTCGCCCTTCTCCTTGGGCCCTCAAACCCTCTAAGACTGTGATTTTGACCTGTGTGCCCCAGGAATTTTTAAAACGTGCAATACCTGATTATTTAGTCAGGGGCACTGACTTTTTTCCCCTTAGATCATCAAATAAAAAAAGGACAACAGCCAATACAACAACAAGAGCCATTTGGGGTGAATGAATCAAAATTATGCCTATTTTTTTTTTGGCAAAAAAAAATATATATATATTTTTTGGTGTGCCACAGAGTTTTGGTAATTAGTTTATGTGTGCCATGAGATGAAAACGGTTGAGGATGGTGGGGGAAAAAGTGAAAGAAAAAGTTTTAAAATCGCTGCTCTAAGGCCTCACAGCCTCTCGCTTCCCCTCTCGTCACTTTGGGCTCTTGTCCGTATCGCCATTCAAGCAGACCTACTGCTCCCTGCCCCCAGGTCCCCACAGCTCCAGAAACTGAAAGGCCGGGGGAATTCTTGGGGACCCATGCCAGGGAGGCACACATGTGGTGCCCCACCCCACCCTGCCCCAGGCCTAGGCCCCAAATAGCTTGGCTTCTATATTTAGCAGTTCACTCAGCAGTGCCAGGGAACTATAAATATGGCCCAGCTCAGCACTGCCTCCCAACTCTCTGGGCCGGACTGGGTGGCTGTCAAGGGTCAGGAGGATGCCAGCTGGGGCTGGGCAAGGTCTGACTATGAGTACCTGGTCAAGTAGACCAGCCCGGGGGGGCGGGGAACCCAGGTGTCCAGCCTGCAGGAGGAGACAAAGATCTGTTGTCCCGCCTGCCTCTGGGTCTGGGGTCAGGGCTGACCAGCAGCCTCCCTCCCTCTTTCCTCACTCGCTGGGGCTTCCTGCGTTGGGACAGCTGTCTAGCCTCACAATAGCTGTGCCGCCCTCCTGGAGCCAGCAGCTGGGCTCATCCGCGGGGGCTGGCCCGGCCCCTTCCTCTGCCATTGTCTCCCGGTCAGGGGGCTTCCTGTTATGCACCCCTCTGTCCAAAGACCCCATCTGACCCCCGCCTCAGCGCGGGCTGCTAAGAGTGCTGGGTGTGGGCGGGCGGCACAAGAAGGGGAGGCTGGGTGTGGGGTCCCCTCGTCCTCTTCCCCACAGCAGAGCGCATTGCAGAGAAGGAGGTCCTCCTGACAGCCGCTGCCCATGTTGGCCGCGCAAGCACTCCCAGCCCCTGCAGTTCGTTCACTCCCTAATGACCCTCACCTGTGCCTGCCAAGGTTCTGACAGATGGAGAAACTGAGGCCCAGAGAGGTCACTTAACCCGCCTGAGGTCCCACGGTCCAACAGTGGAAGAGATGGGGTTCACCTCGGACCTCTGATGGGAGATGCGGGGGCCCTGTGACTGTGTAAGTCATTTCATCACTTTGTGCCTCCGTTTCCCCATCTGTCTAATGCAAATCGCAGCACCTGCCTCCCAGGGCGCCTAAGAAGATAAGTGTGAAGTGCTTAGAAGAGGGCCAGGCAGAGAGTAGGTGCAGGAAGACAACCAGCACCCTCTATGGAGATTTGTTCCTGTTGCCGCTATAATAATGAAAATAGTAATATATTATAATATATAATACTCATTATTATTGGTTGAATAACCCTGGCTCAGCCACTTCCTAGCTGAGAAATCTCAGGTGAGTGGCTCAACAGCCCCGGGTGCCCGTCTCCCATCTGACAAATGGGGACCCATGTCCCTGCCACACACCATGTGGAACAGAGGCCACAAGTTGTCCAGGGACTGCCAAATAGGTCAGTGGGGCTGGAACTTCAGAGAAGTTCAAGGAAGGAGGAGGTGTGTTGTCAGTACTCCAGCAGGGCCCTGATTGGGCAGCGTGAAGGGGGTTTTCTTCAGAGGGGGGCACCGCAGGGGTGGTGCTGCTGACTGTGGAACCCCACAAGGGGCAGGCCGCAAAGGGCTCGAAGCCCCGCCCTCTGGGCTCACAGCCGCTAGGGTGGGGGGCAAGCAGAGAAGAGGGAAGCAGGTGAGTTCCCTGCCAGGAGTCTGATGAAGCGCCACCGAGAATGGGGAAAGTGGGGAGCAGCTGGGGTTGCTGACGACAGGAGAGGACTACGGTCACCGTGTATATTGGAGGGTCACAGCGTAGTTGGGCGTGGAAGGTAGGCCAGGGAATGTGTGAGCAAAAAGCATGAAGGAAAGCAATGTGGGAACCAAGCAGTTGTCTGGGGCTGGAGTGCAGAGGTCAAATGTGCCGGCTGTTTCCCACAAGGAAAACGTCACCCAAGTGACTGAAGGGAAGAGGGCGCTGAGGGCCAGGAGGTGACAGGGCAGAACTTGCAGAGTCTTCTGCACCTTTGGAGGTTTGCACTGAGTGAGGCGGGAGCCCCTCAAGGATGTGTCCTGACTCAGGTGGTGCCCCAAGCACACTTGGGTCACTGTGCGGGGAACAGAGTGTCAGGGACAGGATCCAGGGCGCCGATGCGGGAGATGATGTGACTACACCAGGGCGGGGCCCGTGAGGACCAGTGAGAAGATTTGGGGTCTGGTTGAGGCCAGGGCCACAGGGCTTGCTGACAGTCCCCATTGCAGTGGTGGCGGGGGGATGTTCTTTGTGCCTGCCCCAAGCTTGCTGCAAACATCTCAAAGCCCTTTCTCCCACATTGCCCCGGTTCTTCCTCGCCCTGCTCCTGAAGACAGTGGGCAGGCGTTCCAATCCCTTTCACCAGACAAGGCTGAATCCTGGACAGGTTAGACCTGCTCCAACAGCCCAAGGCACATCCCAGGACAAAGAGGTAAAACAATGGACAATGGAGCTGCCGGTGTGGGGACAATGCCCTGGGGCGTAGGGCGGCCTCCCACAGCCCCCAGGCCAAAGCTCTCACCCCAGGGCTTCTCCAGGAACCAGCTGTCAGACCTTGGCCTGTAGGGCAGGACATCCAGCAATGGGGTTTCCGACTTTTTGGTAAAAAAGTCAAAATGCACTCTAGACTGATCTGGCCCCCCCCTCCAGCCTCCACCAGTGTCCATTTCCCTGCCCCAGGCCCCTCAGGCAGCCTGATGAGACTCCCTTCCGGCACCCTCCTCAGGTCAAGTGAATGGTCCCAGGTAGGAAGGGGTTAATTCTAGGCACGTGGCTGCTCTGCTGCCGTCCCTGGGTTGATGCCTCCCCGCCTCCAGCCGTTGGTGACCCTGTTTTTCCATGACCACGATCTTCCCCTTTCTATGATGGACTTAATATTTTCTTGAATTTTCTACACTTTTGCATCCTTGAATCTGTTCATTTAAAAAGGAAACTATGTATTGATGTCATAACTGGAAAGCCTTTTTGTCACCCTGAGACTCCATAAACTTAAAAATAACTAATACCAGAAGGAACCTGACCGTGGGTGCTATAGCTGGATAAACCTCAGGGCCACTACGGTGTTCAAGCCACATCAACACCCGGGGGAGACTTTTTTCCTGGACCCCTGGCGACTAGGCCTCCTGCCTGTGGATCTCTGCTGAGCTGCTTGTTAGCTGTGCCTCAGCTTCCCCCTCTGTAAGTGGGAATCGGAGCTGCACCTGCCTTAGGTGTTTTGCAGTCAATGTGTTGAAATAGCACCTCGAGTCAGGCCTGGTTCAGATTAAGCTCTTTATAAGTAAAAACGTATTTAAAAAATTATTAGATGGTCCTAGAGACAAGCCAGTCATGTGACTTATTCAAAAAGGAAACAACTCCCTGTCATGTGACTCTGTTGATTAATGTGGTACCTGTGATCCCCTGAAATGTAAGTTTCCCACCGAGGGAAACACTGGCCCAGAAAGGCCGTCTCCCACATGGTGGCCCCTCGGTGGTCTGAAATTCCTCTTTTTGGTGCCTCCCTGGCATCCAGGAAGAGTATCTTCACTCTCCTCCAGCTCCTATTTGGACTCTGGACTCTGCCTCAGTTTCCTCTCCTGAAAATCAGGGGTGGGTCCTGTTAGCTCAGGGGCTGGCTTTGGAGACTGGGGCCTGCCTAGGCAAAGAGCGTGGGGGTCTCCGAGGAGGAGTCCCGCGCTATCTCTGATGTGGCCCCTCCCCAACAGAAACAGCCTCGTGTGCCACACTCCTCCACCTGTGCCCTCCCCACCCTCACTTTCCTCTGGGATAAGTGCCCATGAGCACAGAGCGGGGTCAGAGTGTTTGTCAGAAGTTCAAACGGTGGAAGTGCTGCAAAGGACCTGAGAGCAAGTTGCGGCTCAGTGTGTGTGCTCACACAGCGCCCCTGGGTCTGTGTTTTCACTGCACTTTCCTGTTGGCTCCCAGCTGCCCGACCAGTTCCGGGGAGGGACCTGGGGCAGTGGCTCCCCGCCCTTTCCCGCTACACACCCACTTTATAAAGGCCCGGCGGCCACACGATGTGCACAGCTGCCCAGCCTGGGGACAAGAGCAGCCGTGCCCCAACTTCTGCTTCCCCTGCCAGCAGCTCAGACCATGGGAGGTCCCCACCTCAGCATCTTTCTCGTCCTACACGGTGAGAATTTGGGGGTTCCTGGCAGGACCCCTTTGGTACCTCTGTTTCCCATCTCTCCCCTCCTCCTCCCTCCCCGCCCCCACCACCGCCTTGTGGTGAAATAGGAGGCACAGCTGGCAGCTCTGGGGCTTGACATGGAGAAAGACACATGGTTAGGCGGGTGCCTTGGGAGAGCCGCTGGCAGTGCCCAGGCACCCCTGCGCCCAGGCAGGAACCCCCCTGGGTGTTCTAAGAGCTTGCTCCCCCACACCCTGAGGATTCTCCAAGCTTCCTTCTGGATCCACAATGGACGGGCAGCTCCTTCGGAGGGGAAACTGAAGCAGCGGGGAAGGAGAGGGGCAAAAAGGGAGTGCTGTGGTCCCCCCCCCCCCCAAGTTACTCTTAACAGATAGCTTAGAGTGGTGCTAGGGAGCTAAAGATGGGCACCCTTCTACTGTGGGGTGTCCCCAGCACATCCCCCACTGTCTCAGTGGCAGGGGAAGCCCAGAGACCCCCCAGTCAGGCTCCCTCAGACCCGGTTGAGACTCAGCTGTGGGTCGAAGGGATTACCACTGCGGGCTTGAACTTGAGTTTTGCTGTGACTTCCCTCGTGCCTCCCTTCCCGCCCCACCCTGGGTGGCTCTAACGGTTATCGGGGCAGCTCGTTGCCTGGGCAACCAGGCAACAGAGAGAGTTAAGAAGTGACACTTGGGGAGCCACAGCTTCCGTGGGCCACAGGGATGGGGTTCCCTGTGCTTACTCAGGGTAACGGGAACGAGCCTTTTTTCATAGCTTTTTCGAGGTGCGAATTGCAGAACATGTAATTCGCCTGTGGCAGGCATACAATTAGATGATTTTGGGGGCAGTGTGTCAGGGGGCTGAGTCACGGAGCCCCATCCTCACTTGCCCCATGTGTAAAATGGGGCAGGTCAAGTCCGGCCTCCACTTTGCAGGGTGGTGTTAAGGGGTGAGTGAGTCCTGGTTCGCAGGAAGAATTAAGTAAACAGTATTTATTGTTATTATTTTCATTGTTATGATGATGGCGATGATGATGACAACGACGATAATGATGATGAGGATGAGGATGATTTCACGGGCGGGTCTGGGGGATGGGCGGGGGTCCTCGGGCAGGAGGAGTAAGGCGAGAATGTTGGCCCCGCCCCTGCCGCAGGGTCCCTACGCAGGAATCTGACTGCGCAGGGCTCAGCTAGGGAAATGCAAACCAGATGGGTCTGGGAGCAGACGACCGGCAGCTCCCTCCAGGCTCCTGTTTGGGTGACTTCCAAGGCCCCAGATGGAGAAGGTCTGGCCCAGCAGCCTCTGTGGTGGGGGAGGGAAGCCCAGCTCTGCCTGATGGGGCGCAAAGAAGCCCCTCCCTGCAGGGTCTGGGGAACTTGACTCCTCACTTCCACCTTCCCCAGCCCCCTGTTCACCAGAGTCTCCATAAGCCTTTTCTGGGCTCTGAGCCTCAGTTTGTCCACCTGTAGAGTGGACAGAAACAAGGACCCCTCTCTCCTAGAGCAGTTGTGAGCGTGAAAGTTGCTAATGGGGCTTTAGGAACTGGGGACGAATCAGCCCAGGCCCCACCCTGCCAGGGAAGGTTTTTTTGTGGTCTGTCCTACAAAGAGGAACTGGGTCCCGGCCAAGGAGATAACTAACTGGACCCTGTGGCCAGAGAGGAGGAAGAGAGAATTCCAGCCTCAGTTTACCCCCAGCTAGGAGAGCCTTGGGGAGAGGGGTCTTTGCCCTCTGCTGGTCTGAGGGGTAATCAGGTTTGGAATTGGGGCTGAGTGTTCAGGGGACCCTCCGGTCTGCACCCCCCATAGCTCCTCGAGCGGTGCTCACCATGACCTACCCCAAAATTCCCCGGGGAGCTCCTCCAAGGGCGACTGAGCCATGAGTTATCCTTTCGTTTGGCCCAGGAAATGACGCATGCCTGCCCTTCTCCCTGATCCCTACCCCGCTGCCCCCAGTCCCCCATCTGGTCTTCCTGGATTACCCGGCCTGGGCTGCCTCCCCGGCATTTCCAGGTCAGCAGGGGCTGGATGGCTCCCTCAAGTCCTCCCACACCGCCACCTGCTTCCCGGTGCCCTCCTCCCTCCCTCCCCCTTCTCTGTTTCTGTTTCTCTATCTCACCCTCAATCTCTCTGTCTCTCTGTGCCTCGCTGTCCAGCCTCGGGCATCTCGGGCATCTCCGTCTCTCCCTTCTAGGAGTTCCCTAGTTCTCTGTTTGTCTCTCCCTATCACTGTCTTCTTAACTGCTGCCCTCTGTTTATCTCTCTGTCTCTCTCATCTCTTAATTTTCTCTTCAGCTCTGTCTCTCCGCTCTCCCTCTTTCTCCTCTCTCCATGTCTCTAGCTCTTTCTCTGTCCCTGTCTCTGTCTCCTCTTTATTTTCTCTCCATCTCTGTCTCCTTGTCTGTCTCTCTGGTCAATGGCAAGGAGGTCCCCATCTCTAGAGCCCCTGCTGACTTGAGGAGGACTCCCAGGACTCGCTGTGGGAGGGGGGTCCCCTGAGCAGCAGGAACAGCAGGACTGGGGGCCCGTACAGCACTGCCCCCAACATGAGCCCACAGCACCGGCCTGTGTGCAGGGAACCAGGAGATGAAATGTCACTCCTGGGTCCCAAGCTAGTTGTCGGGGCTGACAGATGTGGGTGTGGTGTGCTTGCACCTGTGCCCCTGAGGAAGGGTATGGGGGCTGGAGCGCCTTAGATTTGGGGGGATCTGAGTGAACCCCTGGTCTGGCCCTTCATTTTTACGTAAAGAAATGATGACAGTAAACACGATACAAAGGCAGCACTTGTGTGCTTAACTGTCCCACTACTCTGGGAGATGGGTCCCCTCTTCATCCCCACTCTACAGAAGGGGAAGCTGAGGCACTGAGGCACCTGACCAAGCTCTGGGATTAGAGAACTAAGGCCACCTGGCTCCCATCTGTTTCCTGAACTGTTGCACACAGGTCAGCAGAAGCCAAGACCCTGCCAGGCTCGAGCCCCTCCCCACCCTCCAGTTCCTGTAACCACCTTCCGGTGGTAGGCGCAGGCCCTTTGGCCATGGGCACTGGAGGCCCAGGAGGTGCCACCTGCCCAGTCTCTTCTTGCATAATGACAGAGCCCAAGCCTGAGGGGGGTGACACAGCCCTCAGGTGTGCCAGCCTCAGTCCTCTGTCAACCCTTCCCCGTTCTGTGATTGCCTGACCCACCATCTCTCCGTTCCAGTGCTGTGTGTTTTGCTGGCTCTGTTGGAATATGGACCCCGGAACACCAGGGGTGAGTCTCCTGGGGGTAACTCAGTCCACAGCCAGAGTCCCAACCTCCCCCACAACCCCCGGTACCTCTCAGCCCAGGTGGGAGAAAGGCCCGTTGCAGGGGGGAAGCTCAGGGTTACCCCTCCCTGCACCCCTCCCCAGCCCTGGGCTCAGCCCTCATCTTCTGACCGTGGTCTCCATCCCCACAGCCTCTGCCTCCACGGCCTGTGCTCCGTGGTGCCCCCCGCAGTCCACGTGTGTCAACGCCACTGCCTGTCGCTGTCTTCTGGGGTTCATCTCTTCATCTGGGGAGATCGTCACCAGCCCCTCGGAGAGCTGCGATGGTACAGAGGCCTGCGGGGTGGAGGGCCACATGGAGACATGAATAGTGGTTGGGGGTCTGCAGCCTTTGTCTTCAGACTTTCATCAAGAACAGAAAAAAGAGAAAGGAAAAGATACAAAGGAGAAACATGAGAAGTGAATAAATAAACATGGCTTCCTAGAGAGAAAGGAGCTAGGTCTCCAGGAGTCTGGAATCTGCCTCAGTTTGCCCTTCCAGGGCTGGGGAGGGGGATGCAGAGCTTCCACACACCCACCACTTCATCACTTTTTCCTGTATCTAAATCCAGGGTGACAGGCAGAGAGCTGAGAGAGCAGAGCTGCATGAGTGGGCTTCAGGAACGGCTTGCTCCAGCCACAGCCCAGCTGCAGCAGTGTTGCCTGAGAGTCTAATTCCTTCCCAAAAGACACTGATTAAGCATCAGGCCTCATGCTACCTGGGAGACAAGGCTCTCTGCCCTGAGAGCACTCATGCCTTTGGGAGGTGACCCTTTGCCCTGTTTTGTTTCAGACATCAACGAATGCGGACCGCCCCTATTAGTGTCCTGTGGAAAACTGGCAGAATGCCAGAACACGGAGGGGAGCTACAAGTGCTTGTGCTCCTCGGGTTACACGCTTGTTTCTAGGACAACACAATTCGGTAACAAGAGTCAGAACATGTGTGAAGGTAAGAATGACCCCACATCCTCCATCTCCCCATCTGTGAGGTTGGGGTCACCAGAGCCACTCCTGCAGCATATAGGTCCCTGGCTGTAGGTGCAGCGCCCAGGTATGAGTCGGGACAAGTGTGCCTGTGCCCATCCCACCAGCACAGAGAGCCAGGGTGGCATGAGAACCAAGCCCCCATTTGCCTCCTTGTCTGCACACCCTGGTGCAGTGAGCACCCCGCACAACTGCACGTGGTGGCCATGGATCACACTGGGTGTGCCTGGACTTCAGCAAGCCCTGTGGCACAGGCGGTGGTGGTGGGGATGGCGGACATGTGCTGCTGTGTGAGAAACGGACCAGGGCAGAGAGGAAGGGCTGGGGCCGCTGGACAGAGACCCGGCTGAATGAGAGCGGGCTGGGACCTCAAGGGAGAGAGCAGCCTGCTGGTTTGGATCAGGGCCTGTCGCCTGAAGACCGAGCTTTGTGAGGGCTCACCTGGGCCATCTGCCCACCCTGGCATTCCATCCCTTGACGCACCTGAGGACGTGTCTGCTGGTGTCATGGCCCATGAGGTCTCCGCTTGGACTAGGACCCAGGCCACTTCCTCGGCTGCTCGACCCACTTTCTCCAGGCATCAACGGGCCACCCTGGGCACCCACCTGGTCTCCCAGTCCTCTGTGAACCCCCAGGCTCAGGACCCTCTGCAGAAGCCATTTCAGGAAGTTCGGAAGCCTTCCAGGTTACCTGACATCTTATTTGCATAAAACAGTGAGGGTGGTGACATTCCAAGATAGTTCAGGAGCTCAAGGCACGTTGTGTTCCAGAGCAACATTTGTCGGCTGCACCGTGGCCAGGAACTGCCCGGATGAGACCTGATGCCAGGAGGTCCCTCAGATGCCCTGGGCCATGATGGACCCAGGGACCCCGTCAAGAAAACTGGGAGAAGGGAGATTCAGGCCCACCTCCCCCAGAAGGCTCTGCCTCTGGCCAAAAACCGCACATGGAGAAGATGCCTCCTTGCACCCTGACCCCAATTCTCAGCCTCTCAGCCTCCATCTATTTCCCCAAGGAAGCCTCCGCCCTGAGCCTCCCTGATAACTTCAGTTCACGGGACTGTGGGCAGCATGGATGTCAGGGACCAGTCGGGTGACGTGTCGGGGGTGGGTGCAGTGACACCGACTTCCCCCATCCTGCCCCCAACTCAGAGACTTGGGTGAATGAAGAGGCTCCCATCTGGATCAGATGACAAGAGAGGGCGTCATTGGAAATTGCCCCAGGTTTGACCCTCTCCTGAGGAGGTCAGCCCAGGAGCCATGGGGGCCCAGACCACTGGGGGCAGAAGACAGAGGCTGAAAGCTCCTTGGCAAGGCCCACGGGTGTGTGTCCCTGGTGGGAGAACAAGGAGCCCCATGAGAGAAACACCTGCCACTCTTCACTTATCAGCACCTGCTCCCTGCTCCAGGCACCCAGCCCTTGCCCACCACTGGCCTGGATCACGTGGTTCTCACCACTTCCTGCCAGTCCAGGGGCTGCCTTCTCGGGGCCGGAAGAGGCGCCTTTCCCGCCCCAAGGCTATACGGCTGGATGTGAGCCCCGCTGTCCACTATGGCCTGGCACACCTGTCCAGGTGGCCCTGACCTATCTGGCATCATTTTCATTTCCTGGGCTCCTTGAGGAGTCAGGCTCAAGGGTGATTCTTCGTCCATCTCCAGGGGCTAGAGTCTCAGAATTAGCCAGGATGGCAGATCACTGTCTCACCAGAGCTACGGGGATTCCAAGGAGAACTCAGCCAACAGCCCCCACCCCGGGAGAGTCGGGACAAAGGCCGCCAAAATGAGCCCTGCTAAAGGAATGCGGCATTTCTCCTGCACTTGGTTCCAAGAAGAACTGCCCTGGCCTTTGCCCAAGTCCTTGGGCTGGACACAGGTGGCAATGATGTCCTTGTCCTAGCTGGGAGCTGCCCGGACGTCTGAAGGAGGCAAAGCTGGCAGGGAAGACTTCTGGCCACATGTGGGCAACAAAGCATCTAGACCACCACCTTTACCAATAGGACACCTCCCCGTGGACTAGAAAAGGCACCCACACACCTGGGATGCTTCCAGATGCTTCCATGCTAAGAAGCTGAAGGCTGCCCATGGCTGCAGGCATCCACCCCGCTCTCCTCCTGTTGCAGACATGGATGAATGTCAGTTGCCGCTGGAATCTGTAACCGCTGCCACATCTGGGTCAACACACAGGGCAGCTACACCTGCAAGTGCCCACCGGGGCTGGAGATGGACCTGGAGGACCCGAAGGTGTGCAAAGGTGGAGGCCCCAGGAAGACACTGTGAGGCTGGACTGGAGCTGGGGGAGGCGCCAAGGCAGGTCCCGCAGCCCAAGGAGGCAGAAGAAGATCCACATGTTCCTGAAATGCCACAGGCCTGCCAAGGGCCCTGCCCAAGGATCCCTCTTCCTGAAAGGTCCTGCCACAGAGCAGGGAGGCAGCAGGGCCTTCTGCACCGGGGGTTTTCTGTGCAGCCCCTGTGAGCACTCCCGACACTTCCCCTTCCACGCATGTCACACACAAGCCCAGGGAGATGTCACTTCATGTTCCCAGAGAGGAAGCATGGACCAGGACCCAGGAGGGAGTAGGCAGGCATCTTTGGTCAGGAAGTCCAGCCCACAAACTCAGCTTCCCTCCTGGTTTTGCCGCCTATGAACGAGAGACTACTGTCCCTGCCATGCCATCTTGCTGGAGGCCACCATAAGGTGCTTTGAGGGTGAAGTTGAAGGTCACCAGCTGGTGCCCTGTGTACTAACGGTGGGGTCCTTTGTGCCGGGCAGTGAGAAGAGTGTGCAGTGTGTGGAAGGAGGGCCTGATGCTCTGGCTTTGTCCTCAGATGTGAATGAATGTGCCTCGGGGCAACACTCCTGCCACAAGTCCACGCACTGCCTCAACATCCAGGGCAGCTATAAGTGCAGCTGCCGTCCTGGCTGGAAGCCAGCTCCTGGGTCCCCCAATGGCCCAGTCAACACCATCTGTGAAGGTTTGCAGTTCAGATCTCATAAATATGACACATCTTCTTATTTTGCTGAGCCAGCTTAGAGGAAGGTGCCACAACTTGATTTCTCTGAGAAGAGGCGGCAGTGCTTCCAGCCACGGCGTGTCCTCAGTGCTGGCAGTGAGGAGTGGGCGCTCAGGCCGGGCAGGGCCGAGCTCCTGGTTCTTTTCTGACAAGGGCCGGAGTGCAGCTCGTGGAGGCCGCGGTGCCCCAACCGCACGGGGAGCGCTGCCAGTGCCGCAGCCTCCCTGGCTAGAAAGCCCTCATCCTGGGTCCCCTAACCCCCGTCCACCCAGCAGAGCATGTGAGGGGACCCAGCTTTGGGATAACACCTCACAGGCACAGTCCAGCCAGGTCCACCTTGTAGGGACACTGAGCTTACGGTGCTTTTACAGGGAAAAATGTCATCAAAATTTGTATCCTGATGTGCTAGGTGCCGGGTAAGCGCGATGTAGTGAGGTGTCCTCGGTGGGAACTGCTAAGGGAGCTTGAGTGAAGAGGAAGGAAGGATGCATGCAGTCAGCAGCGAGAAGGCCTGACACTCTGGCTTTGTCCTCAGATGTGGATGAATGTGCCTCGGGGCAACACTCCTGCCACAACTCCACAAGCTGCATCAACATCCCGGGCAGCTATAAGTGCCGCTGCCGCCCTGGCTGGACGCCAGCTCCTGGGTCCCCCAGTGGCCCAAACAGCACTGTCTGCGAAGGTTCAGAGTTCAGATCCCACACACACTCCCAGACACCACAACTGAAACTTTTGATCACATGCTCAGCGGCACCCACAGGAACCCAGCGGAATAAATGCTGGGGCTGCCCTGCCGTTCCAGGCGCTAATCCCTTTGAGGCTAAATGGGAAAGACTTGGGTGGCCCTGAGGAAGCAGCAGGGGTATCAAGGGGAGGCTCCTGGGGACCTCAGGCAGCAGCTAATCAATAACTGGGACGAAGGTATTTCACTATCTCAAAACCTGCATGGCTGTGTTGGGCTCACCTGCTACGTGTCAGGCCTCTGCACACTTCCTGTAACACCTGCATCCACCACTCAGGGATGTGCAGTCACCAGGTGTCATCACCTCCAGCCAAGGGGTGGGGTCGGGGGCACTAACACGGGGAAGGGGGCGGGGCACGGAGAGGAGAGGGGCTGATCCGGCTGGGACAGGCAGGGCCTGATTCCCTCCTTCATGTCCCCAGATGTGGACGAGTGCAGCTCCGGGAGGCATCTGTGTGACAACTCCACCTTGTGCGTCAACACTCTGGGCTCATACACATGCCACTGCCGTGCAGGCTGGGTGCCCAAACCCGGATTTCTGAATAAACCAAGGACTACGCAGTGTGAAGGTACCTCGCCTGGCGCTAGACCCCGCCTCCAATGCACACAGACACTCTCACACCTAATGTGCCTCAATTCTGTCCCCTGCAGAGATCTTCCCTGCCTGGACCCCTCCCCCTGGGATCAAGAGCCAGGTGAGAGACTCCAGCGGGGGCTGATTTCCCTGCTGCTGCTCCCGCACCAGCTGTGAGGCTCTCTGACCCCACATCTCCTCTCTCCCAGAGTCTCTCCCGCTTCTTTGAAAAAGTTCAGAATCTCAGCAGAGACTTCAAGCCTGCCTCGCCCCAGGACACCATCAAGGTAAGGGCCGGACTGTGGGGGGACCTCAGGACAGTGTGGGGCTGGCTGGGTGACGCCTCCAAGTGAGTGAGGCAGCCCAAGCAAGGGCCTCCGATCGGACAAACCCGTGTGGCTGTGTGCACAGTATACACACACCATGTACATCCCCATCACACTAACACAGACGTACACGCCCCCCGATTCCTGGGACCCCCAGTGGCTGGAGCAGGGCCCTCACGCACACTCACAGTCAAGGGGGATGTAATGGCTACAGAATGGAGGAAGTGAGAGTTTTGCCTCCGGAGCTGAACCACAAAGATTCAAATCCCCCCGCAAACACACACTTTCTGCTGTGACCTCAGGAAGTAACTCCCCTGTGTGGGTCGCAGTCTCCTACTCCATACGGTGGTTGTGTAGGTTTCAATGAACTAAGAGAGGCTCAAAGAATAGTACCTGGCACACAGTTAGCATTAGATGTAAGTTTTAACACAATAACTCAGCCCAGTAGAAATATATGATCTCCTTATGTCATTTTAAATTTTCCAGTAGCTTTATTTAAAAAAAAAAAAAAAGGTAAAGTAAAAAGTGAAATAATGTGAACATTACACTAACCCAATAGATCCAAAGTGTTACCGCTTCAACATGGTACCACATGTGGCGCCGGGCGACTGTTCTGGACGGTGCAGACTTAGAACAGAACCCGCACAATGTCAATGACTGATAACTGTTAAGTGCCGTGTTATATGTGCACACAGGCCTGCACTCGATCCTCCTACTTGTCTTCTGGCTACCGCAGTGTTTCGATGATTCCCCCATGCCTGTCCCCTAGGCAACCTGGGTGGCTCTCTGGTGTGTCCCCTGGTGAGGGACTGAGATCAGGGTCCTTGGGAGGTTCCTGTGGTTCAGTGACCCAGCAGCTGTCACCCATCACCCCCAGAATCTCATCAAGTCATTGGACAAGCTACTGGAAGACCCTGGGGACCTGGAGGCCCTGGCCCTCCCTGACCGGCACCGCGTGGCCACCCACCTGCTGTCACAGCTCGAAGAAGTTCTGAGGACACTGGCCAAGGCCATACCTGAAGCCTCCTTCACCTACCGTTCCCCTTCGGACACAGGTGAGGCCTCTTCCTCACAGGTGAGGCCCCGCCCCAGCCCTGGGCTCTACCCTGCATCCAGAGACCCCATCACTGCCCCTCTCCCCTCAGAGCTGTCCCTGATGATCCGGGAGCAAGGGAACGGAACTGTCACCGTGGGCCAGAGCCTCGCCCGGATGCGGCTGAACTGGGCTGAGGCAGTTGGAGTCGGGGAGTCTGGTAACAGCGGGAGCCTGAGGGGGCCTCCTGGGGGGGCGGGAAGAGCTGGGCGTGAATAGGGGGTGAGGTTCCAGATGTGTAACAACTGGAAACGCCTAATTTATGCATCTGAGGAGGGAGGAGGGAGGGCAGTAAAGGCAGCCAGCCTGTCTGTCCCCCAGGCGCCACCGTGGCAGGCATATTCTCCAGCCGAAACATGAAGAAATTGCTGGCCAATGCGTCCTTGAAGTTGGACCCTGAGAAGAAAGTCCAGCTGGAAAAGATGCACGAAGGTCCCGTCAGTGGTGGCCAGCCCAGGCTCCTGTCCGCTGTCAACACGGTCTTTCTGAGCAAGAAGGACATGGGGAAACGAGACTCCCCTGTCGACTTCTCCTTCTCCCACCTTGTGAGTCTGTGGGTGGGGAGGGGGAACTGGCCCCACTGTCCACCCCATAGCCAATGTCATGGTGGCCCCTCCACCGTCTCCATTTCCCACCTGCGGCCAGTCATCTGCTTCCTGAAATGCACCCCAGGGCCTTTGCACTTACTGTGCTGCCTGCCTGGGACAGCTTTCCCTCACGTGACTCAGTCCTTTACCTGTTTCTAGTCTTTGTTCAAATGCCACCTTCTCTTTTAGGCCTCCCCCCCTTTTAAAATGACAACTTGTAATCAGTGATGCCCCACCTTTCTCCTGTCCTGCTTCTTTTTCTTCTTTTCCAATAGCACTTAGCACCTTCTAACACACTGTCTAGTTTACTTATCTCTATGGTTTATCATTTACTGTCTGTGCCCCCAGTGAGCACATCAGCCCCACAAGGGCAGGGCTTGTGCCTGCTTTGTTCCCTTCTGTGCCCCTGGCTGGCACACAGGGCAGGTGCTCAGTAAATACTTGTCGGTGAAAAGCAGCCCTTTCTCATTTCTCCAGCCCTGACACTAACCTCTAACCCTAACCACCCCACCTGCCCACAGGCGGAGAAGCCCGGGCCACAGCAGGAGCTAATCTGCGCCTTCTGGAAGGGTGACAAGGACAGTGGCGGGTACTGGGCCACCACAGGCTGCCGGAAGCTGGGCAGCGGGAATGGCAGCACCACCTGCCGATGCAGCCACCTGAGCAGTTTTGCCATTCTCATGGCCCACTATGACGTAGAGGTGAGAGCCCAGGGCCACCCTCAAGGCCCACAGGCCAAAGGCTGGCTTAGCTGAGACAAGCAGCTAGTTCTTGATGTTGTGGCCCAACTGGTTCTGTTTGGTTGCATAAGCCCAAGTAGCCTATCCTGTGCAACACCCCCAACCCCCGCCGCCAACTGGTCCCCTCCCTGGGAACTACAGGCCACCTACCTCTCTATGACCCAGCAACTAAACAGTCTGACCTGACACTGGAGGTCTGCCCCAGCTAGTGCCCCTCTGACTACCCACCCCAATCCAGCTGATCTAGCTGTTAAATATCACTAAAAGCTGAAACACAACTTCCTGAATGTGGCCTCAGGTGATCCATAAAAATACGGCCATGTGGATAACTGGAATGGGCCTGGCAGAGTAGGGGAAGTTGGTGGTCCAGGCCAAAGGTCCAGGAAATACTGAAATGTGGGATTTGTGAGCTGGTAAGTGTGGCCAGTAAGGGCAGAAGCAGGAGATGAGATCACAGAAGGGGACTCATCAGTGCTGGAAAAACATGTGACAGTCAATACTTCACTGGGGACCTTTTTGGGAGAGCATAGGGGGAACCTTGCTGCACCTGTGGGTGTGTATGTCTAGCAGGATATTTAGGATGACAAAGATATAGCAGGCTTGCTCTGTTGAAGGCAGAGAGGTGGGGGGAGGTGATCAGCCTAATCTGAGTCCTGCAGGCCAGTCAGGTCCCAGGTGGGTCTGGGCTGTGGGACCCACAGGGGAGGCAGAAGGCCTCAGGGTGCTGATCAAGCCCCACCCACCCCATCCTGCATCTAGGACTGGAAGCTGGCTTTGATCACCAAAGTGGGACTGGTGCTGTCACTGATCTGCCTGCTGCTGTGCATCCTGACCTTCCTGCTTGTGCGGCCCATCCAGGGCTCGCGCACCACAGTGCACCTGCACCTCTGCATATGCCTCTTCGTGGGCTCCGCCATATTCCTAGCAGGCATTGAGAACCAAGGCGGCCAGGTGAGGTCCCACCCCGTGCAGTGCCCCACTCTCGCCTGGGCACTAGGCCAGCAAGGTCCAGGGTAGAGGTAGCTCGCCTATTCCCAGGGCTCAGTTGGGGAGACTGGCCCGAGGGACAAGTGGCCCCGCCCAGGAGCCAGCGGGAACAACGTCGCCTAACTGCCTCTGGGTCGTGGCCCAAGCCGCCACGAGGGCTCGAGGGCTCGGGCAGGAGACCCGCTGCCGCAGGCTGCGTGTGTTCTGGCCCCGCACTGGCTTGACGTCACCCTCGACCCCTACCCCGCAGGACCCGGGGCCGCCCTGCCGCCTGGTGGCCGGGCTGCTGCACTACTGCTTCTTGGCCGCCTTCTGCTGGATGAGCCTCGAGGGCCTGGAGCTTTACTTCCTCGTGGTGCGTGTGTTCCAGGGCCAGGGCCTGAGCAAGCCCTGGCTCTACCTGATTGGCTACGGCGTTCCTGGGTTCATCGTGGCCATCTCAGCAGCAGCCTATCCCAAGGGCTATGGCCGCAAACGCTTGTGAGTGCAGAGTAGCGGGGCCATGGGATGGATGGGGGTTGGGGCATACCACACACAGTGCCCCACTCCCTTGGACATCCCTCTGGCTCCTGACCAGACCTCTCCCTTACTGCCCAGCTGCTGGCTGGACACCTCCCACGGCTTCCCCTGGAGCTTCAATGGACCTGTGGCCTTCATCATTTTGGTAACTAGCCCTCACCCCACACTCCACCCTCAAAGCCTGAGCTGCCTGGCCCCTCACTGAGCCCGATAGACCAGCTCTTTCCCTGCAAGTTCCAAGGAACCCCTAATCCAAACTCTCTGCTCCCCGCTCAGTGCAATGGTGTCATCTTCGTGACAACTGTCTGGAAGCTCGCTCAGAAGTTCTCTGAGATCAACCCAGACATGAACAAATTAAAGAAGGCCAGGTGAGGGCAGGGGCTGACAGGGGTGGGGGGACGCTGGGGCTGGCCCCCTGCTTCAAGCAGCCGCTCTCTCCCCCAGGGTGCTGACCATCACAGCCATCGCACAGCTCCTCGTGCTGGGCTGCACGTGGGCCTCTGGCCTGTTCCTCTTCAGCCCGAGTAGCCACAGTAATGTGCTGGCCTACGTCTTCACCATCCTCAACTGCTTTCAGGGCTTCTTCCTCTTCCTGTTGCACTGCCTGCTCAACAAGAAGGTGGGCTTTGGTCAAGCTGTGTGGGGGGCTGGTACGCTCCCCCTCCCCCTACTTCCCCGGGCTCTCTCCCCTGACCTGGCATCTTGGGCCCTGCAGGTGAGGGAGGAGTACCAGAAGTGGGCCTACATGGTCACTGGGAATAAGTATAAGGACTTCGCCACATCCACGTTGAGCTCCAGCCACAACCAGACTAAGGTAAGGGCTGACCCTGGTGCAAAGGTGCTGGACCAGAAGGCAGCCTTGGGGCAGACTCCGTCCTCACTGGGCTCTTCTCTCTCCAGGTCCTCAGGACATCAGAGTCTGGCATGTGACCACGATTTGACCTGGCCAGCAGCTTCTGTGGCCTCCTCAGCAGCTTTTGCACATACTGGACTGTCCCCCTCCTGTCTCAACACCCTGCTCCCTCTGCCTTCATTGGAGAGAGGGAGCTGACAGTTGTTCTCTGGCACCAAACCTGGGAACACACAGCCAGGGTGGAATTGGACCTGATGGGCCTGCTTCTGGCTGCCTCTGCTGCACCCCAGCTGGGACCCTGGTAGGCAGGAGCTGGCCCAGGGCAACAGCGCCTTGCCCTGGTACACAATGCCCGGACAGACAAGGATCCTGTGCTCCCCTGGCCTCCCAGTCACCTGTTTTTGCAACAAACCAAGAGGCAAGGGTGTTGGGGTTCAACTTTCCTGTTAAGCTAAGACTGAGGTCAAGGGTGGGAGAAGGGCAGGGCCCCTCCTGGCCCTGCCACCTGTGGTTCACGGTACAGAGGCCAGTCTGCCTCTTTGGCAGAGTGTTCTCACTGTTTTGAAGGTGGTGGATATTGTGTCATGTTTTTTTTTATTATCTGTATAAACTTTTCAATGTTGACACTTAAAATTAAATTTCACACTGATACAGAAGGTAGCTTTGCTGTCTGGCTGGGGGCTCCCTGGCCAGACCCACTGCGTCTGTGAAATGTGGAGAGATCAGTAGGAAACAGATGGGTGGGAGCCAGACTTTCATAATAAAATTTTATTCTTACACAAATCTACAGCTTTTAAACAGTAAAAAGAAAGGCCTACTGTGGCCTAAAAAGAGGACTTGAAGCAGCACGTGGGAAGCAGGGTGGCTCCAGGACGTCAGGCGCGTGGTTACCGGCTCTGCTCAACTATAAGACACACACAGTGAGGCCACTGAGAAAGGAGAGGCCCCTGGACCCCAACCCACCCCTCCTGCCAGAGCCACTTACTGTATGTGGAGATATCAATTTCTTCAGGAAGCTCTGCCACATTCACTTCAAACCTGTCCTGAACATCATTGAGGATTTTGGCATCATTCTCATCTGACACAAAAGTGATAGCTAGGCCTTTGGTGCCAAAGCGACCTGCACGGGCCACCTGCAGGGACACAGGTGCACAGGTTGGCCACAAAGACACAACCTGGGGGTCTGAGGACAAACTGGGCCAGATCCCCCACCGCAAAGGGATCATCAGGGAGGTGATACCTCTGCGGGGCCACTCACCCGGTGGAGGTAGGTGTCCGAGTCCTCAGGCATGTCATAATTGAAGACAATGTTGACTCGCTCAATGTCCATCCCTCGACCAAACAGATTGGTGGCTACCAGGATCCGCCGCTGGAAGTCCTTGAATTGCTGATAGCGCGACAGGCTGGGCGCAGGAGGAAGAAGAGGCAGCCATCAGGTACCGGGTTCCTGGGTAGCACTGCCTCCGAGGGTCCTGCCTTGGGCCTTCACGGCAGCATGTACTCACCGCTCTTCCTGGGCCATGCCCCTGTGGATGGCGATAGCCGGGAAGTTCTGCTCCACGAGCAGCTGGGCCAGAGCCATGCAGCGCTGCACTGACTTCACAAAGATCACCACCTGCCAGAGAAAGGCACTGGAGTCAGGGCCACAGTCCCCATGCACTATCCTCCCAAAGGCCCAGAACCACTCAACAGGCAACCGCAGCGTCACCTGGTTAAACTCCAGCACATCCAGCAAGTCGAAGAGTTTACGGTTCTTTTCACTGTCTTTGAGTTTGACATAGTACTGCTGCAGTCCATGCAGTGTGAGCTTGGTCTCGTCATCCACAAACACCTCCATAGGCTGAGGAGAGGGGAGCAGGAAGGGGGGGGTCAAGGCTTTACTTCTGGGCACCCTGCCTGCCCAGAACCTTCCAGGAGTGACTCCATGCTATGATGTTTCCGAGAGAGGGTGCTGTACCCAATAAACATCTCTCTCCCAAAAGCTGGATCTAAGCTCTGGTCTGGCTCAGGTCTGGACCAAGCTCAGCTCCCAATCTGACAAGACAGAGGAGGGCAGGTGGGCTCCACAGCCTCTCAACATCATTGTGCTGTGGGTGTTGTGCAGCAGAGTCAGCCTGGGCCCCAGGACCCGGGAGGGCCAAAGCTGCTGCACCAAGGTCTTGGCCACTGCCCTACTCACATCTTGCATGAACTTCCTGCAGACGGGCCGGATCTCCTTGCTCAGGGTGGCGCTGAACATCATGCACTGCTTCTCATGCGGCGTCAGGCGGAAAATCTCCTGCACGTCCCGCCGCATGTCTGGGTGGGAAGGACAAGAAACAGGTGGACGTGAGCTCCTACCAGACTGCAACCCCCACCCCAGGCCAGTCCCAGCCCCTCCCAACCTGGCACCAAGATGAGGGCAGTGTGAGCAAGGAGTAGAGGGAGGGGCAAGTCCCCAGTGCCTGTGGGGCTGGACTCAGGGTGAGCGCAGGCCCAGGAGGAGCTGCAATCCACTTACACGCTGCCAGAGCGAAGCAGCCGTGCCAGCGTACCTCGAGCCACGCTTCAGGGAGGGGAGCCTGAAGCAGAGACAGCCGCTGGGGTGAGAGCTGCAGCTGCCTCCCAGGACACAAGCCCCATCTCTGACCAGCCCTGTCAGGGCTCACTAAGGGCAGGCAGGGGGCCTAGAACTAACCCAGCAGGAGATGAGGCCACGGCAAGCCTAGGGCTAACGTGTGCGTGCGTCAGACGGTGGCTCATTTGGGCCCTGTGGTCCCACTCAGCTTGGAGTCAGAAATAGCACGTCACATTAGGCCAAAACAAGAATTTGCCCTAAAATCATTTACCTGTGTGCTGGCCACCCACATGACCCCACTCTGGGGAAACCCTTGGTCTGTCTGTCGGAGCCCACCTGGCTCTGTAGTCTGGGGGGGCACAGGGGGAGGAGGGTGCAGCTGGGTGGGTCTCTGGCAGCACCCCCAGACCCAGTGAAGGGCACTCACCCAGCTGTTCCAGCATCTTGTCACACTCGTCTAGCACAAAGTGCTTCACATTCCTCAAGTTGAGGCTCCTGTTCCGCACAAGCGCCAAGATGCGTCCTGGAGTCCCCACCACAACATGGGGACAGTTCTTCTTCAACACCTCTTCGTCCTTCTTGATGGAAAGGCCCCCAAAGAACACGGACACCTATGAAGGTGTAGAGGAAGTCACTTTTGCCCATCTAAGGGCTGAAGCTTCTTGCTCCACTCCACAACAGTCACCCAGCCCGAGGCCCTGCCAACTCGGGCCGAGGGCGCACAGCAGGCCCCAATGCTCCACGCCTAGAGAGGCCTGAGAGTTTGGGCACCGTTCCACTGAAAAGCAGCCCAGGGCTGAGACAGGCACAGGCCTCTGGGGCCATGCATAATTCATTAGACTTTTAAGGAGTATAAACCACCGCAAACCTCAAAGGCAGCTGCTGCAGCCAAGTTTGGTAAATGCTGGCTGGGCCAGAGCTGACGCCAGCCAGGCTGCAGAGGACCACATGGCGCTCAGCCTGGCCCAAGGAGGCTCACCTTGACACTGGGCATGTACTTGGAGAAGCGCTCATACTCCTTGCTGATCTGAAAGGCCAGCTCCCGAGTGTGGCACATGACCAGGACCGTCACCTGTGGGGTGGGCAGGAATGACTCACTCAAGGAAGTGTCCTAAATCATCCCTGGCCAGAGCCCACACTACTGCTCTCTAGCCAGTGACAGGCCCCATGCTGAGCCTCTGTACCTGGCCTGCAACCACACTACAACCTCCCACTACACCTCCCTCCTTCACCACTCACCCTAAGGAAACAAAAGCTCATGTACCCACATGCGACCCAAGGATGTTGCCCCAGCAGGAGAACAAAGCACTGGAATTCACCTCAATTATCCCCTAAGAGAGTAGAATAACTTTTGTGACATGAGAAGACAGCTGTGGTCTGTCAGCAGCAATGGCAGTAACGAAACTGTGTGCAGTACAATTCCCCTTCAGAAATAGGGACAATTTAGAAAATATACGGCAAAATAACAGCCATATCTCTGGATGGTAAAATTGTGGGCACTTTCCATTTTCTCTTGCCTTATTATTTCTGGGGGAATTTTGTTACAACTAAGTACTGTACTTCGTTTTAAAAGCCCACAAAAAGAACGTGGGAACAGGAATTTTTAACAGGAGCGGGTGTGGTGCCTGCGACCTCAGAGGGAGGTTGCCTACCCACCTGTCCATTGACGGGCTCGATCTGCTGCAGAGTGGCCAGCACAAAGACCGCTGTCTTGCCCATTCCAGACTTGGCCTGGCACAGGACGTCCATGCCCAGGATGGCTTGGGGAATGCACTCATGCTGAACTGAGGGAGAGAGAGTGCATGAGTGACTGGAAACCGGACGCTCCCTCTGCGTGGGCCCCTCATCAGGTGGCTGAGGGAAGGCACAGTGACGGCAGTCAGAGGACGGTCATGGTGGGGAGGCATACCCTCAGACGGATGCTCAAAGCCACAGTCCACTATGGCCCTCAGGAGCTCAGGCTTCAGCAGAAAGTCCCTGAAGCCAGAGCTGTGGATGGAAACGTAGGAGCCCTTGACATCTTTCTTAGGGGGTGCTGGGGTGCTTTCTGCAGGAGCCTGGGGCTCTTCGTCTTCTTCGTAATCCAGAAGCTCATTTTCCACATCCTGTTCTGCCATAATGCTGAGAACAAAGGAGGGGGAGAGGGTCCAGAGAAGCCACTGAGGTGCATGTAGGAAAACAACCAGGCAAGGGAGAAGGCTACACAGCAACTACGGGCCGTTCACACAGGTCCAAACGGGCAATGCACTGGGGTCATTCTTAGGGACTGGCCCAGAAAGCCACCCAGCTGATAGAGCTGAGACAGAACATCACTTGGTGGCCCTTCCTCCCCTCACGCCCACATTCACTCCAGCAGCAAGTCCTGTCAGCTCCATCTGTGCAGCGCCTCCCAGCTTCAGCCTGTCGTGGCCACATCTCTACCACTCTCCTCCAAGCCACCTCAGCTCTCCCTACGCCCGGCCAGCTACACCCACATGTACACACACTTGCTCCAATCCCTCCCCACAGCCCTCTCCTTGGCCCCTACCCACCTCATTCCATACCATCCCTTTCAAATCATCCCCAGCCTTGCTTGGATGCTCAGACTCATCAAGCTCCTACCCCAAGCTTTTATAGCTCACTGATGCCAGCAGAATGAACTGCTTCCGGCTCTTTGCACAAACGCCTTTCTCAGCATTCTGGTCTCAGATCTAATAAACCACCTGAGACCACCTACCTTAAAGAAGCTCTGTCCCTATCAATCCCCAGGGAACCCACCCAGCCTGCACCTGATGCTGGAGAGACCTGAGTTTGTGAGAGAGCAGTGTCTGCCCAGCCCCAGCTCCACTCACTCTCTGTGGTCTGTACTGGGGAATAATTAAGTGCTCTCATGAAAAGGCCTCCCATTGGGCGTGGGCCAATAAAAATGAAGCCAAGATGGTAAACGGAATTAATACAAAGCTAACTCACCTTCTGGCTTTACTTTGTGTAGTCTAATACACAAAGAGCACCTTCTGGGTGCAAGAGGTATTAGAGGTGTTATAGGTTTCTACATGTGACAATTCTTTTGTCACTCCTGCCCCACCCCAGCCTCCGAACTAGTGGATAGAGGTGCTGAAG